TCTAAGTCACTTTGGATTTATATGAAATGTGTTCATAATACATGCTCTCAAAAGAAAAGCAATAAAAATAAAATAAATTTTAAAAAAAAGTAGCCGAATGCAGCAAAACGGACGAATGAAGCTAAGTGTTAGAAAAAACAAACGAATGGTATGTGTTCGTGAAGAATTTGCTGAACTGGTTAGAATTCTTACACGAAAACAGCTGAACAGGACGGAAAACAGGCGCAAAATGGTGCCAAATAAACGGAGAGGAGAAAATGGAGCCAAAGGGTAGTGAGGAAAGATATAAGGAGAGAAATTAGTAATCAGAAGAAGCAAGTGAGCATGGATAACACACAGAATAAAACATAAGGAAGGTCTAGAACCCTGGGCTCAAAGGTAACCAACATAATATATAGTATTAAACAAGCGTAATACACAGAAAAATTCCTTAATAACTGGATAAATTAAAGCAAAAAGGAATTAACAACAAAAGGAGTAATAGAAGCTCAAATAACAATAAATAAATGATATAAATAACCAGAAATCAATAAGAGAAATGTAGTATGTATGAGAGCAGCAAAGAAATAGGAAATTTGTGGGGATGTGCTGACTATTATACTAGTACTTGGTATGGGTGTGGCCTATCACTATGGTTACCATTTTTCTTAATGTTTTATTCTTTGCTGCTATTGGTGGACAGTAAAGAAAGGGTTAAGCAATATGAGCCTCAGTGTCTTGACATAAAATCTTGTTCTGGTTCCTACACAAACTGCTTGGTCTGGACCCCATTGTATCTTACGGCAAACACTAAGCTTGACGTCCAGACTGGGAACAAATTTTGGCCCAGCATTTTTTTATCACAGCAGAAGGGGGCAAGGACAGAGGGGTGGGGGGTGTTGTGTCATCACCCATTGATTCAATGTTCTTCCAGGGCAGCCCATATGCAGAGCCATGCTAAAGAGCTCTTGCATGAGAGAAAGGTCCTATATTTGTTCTACGTAGCGCAAGTGAATTTAACGACATGCTTGCCCTTCGTTTGCTTGTGACTTGTCTCTGGTGTCTCCAAAAGTGAGATACCAGAGGACAAAAGGACCAGAGAGTATAGAATTAATTAATTCATTATACAAATATATTCGGGGCCAATAGAAACCCTTGTCTGAAAATCTATTTATAAACAGGACTATACATAGGACACGCGGTCACACAATTAGACTGGAAGAAAGGAGATTTAGTCTAAGGCAATGGAAAGGTTTTTCTTCAGTAAAAACAATTAGGTTGTGGAATTCTGGAGAGGTGGTTTTATCAGAGTCTATACAGATACATGTCTATTTTCAGCTATGTACCTATGTAAGAGGAGAGAGTGTGTGTTTAGGGAATGTAGTATGTGTTTGCATACAGGGGATAAAGGATGGGCATAAGGGATCTAGTGTGAGTGTAGATAGTGCAGTGTGTGTATAAGAGATGTAGTGTCTATAGGGGATCTTTGTGTGAGAGATGTGTAGAGTGGTGCAGTGAGTGTGAAGGGTGTAGTGTGTTGGGTAGGATAGGTTGTGTAGTGGTGGGGGTCAAATAAGAGCATAAATATTTTTTCATTATTATTGTATTAAAAAATAAAGAAAAGAAAAGGTGATATCCTCCCTTCCTACCTTTTTCCAGGAAAGGGGGAAATTGCAAGCTCTGTTGGAACATGGGGTGAGTGACTATAGCCTGCAGCTCCTCGTGCTGTCGACTGAGACCACTCCTCTCGCCAGCTCAGGCACTGCGCTGTGTCAGAGCATTGCCATGGTAAATCACGGCAACGCTCAGATCGGCAGGCTTGCGGGAGGAACATTCAGCCTCCTGTCCCCTCACTGCAGTGTCAGTGGGCAGGTGTGAGATATCTTTCTGTCTGTCATCCTCAGCTCCTCTGAGTGTTTGCTGTCAGAAACCTTTGCGGGTCAGGCAAAACAGTCATTTGATTTATATTGGCATCTGACTCTGAATTTATGTCTGCAACAGCAAAGGTATGCAGTCTCTGCCCAGTCCCTGCCTCCCCTAAAAGTACTACTGTAAAAGCTTGGACAAAACAACAAACAACAGAATGGCCTTCCAGAAGATGGGAAAAGCATTCATAAGTGACCAGAGAGTGGATAGCAGAGCAGGCCCCTCTCTGGTCAGCAGCTGAATTAATGCCACCAGGCCCATGAACTCATCATGGGTTGTTGTCACCTGACGGAATCACCAAATTGTATGCTGTTAGGAATAGCTTCTGTACCCTCACATCAACCATGGAATGACCACTGACCTTGACCATAGAGTGCCCCAGTGTGACACGTGAGGAACGAGTTGGCTTGTCACCTGTGATAAGGAACACTCTTGTCCATCATACAGTTGTTGTTGTTTCCTGTAGTATCCTATTACAAGGACAATTCAAATACAATTGAAATGATGTGTTTATAATGTGAACTTTGAAATGTCGTTGCAATATACTGCAATATTGGCCTTGATTTAATAAGCTTTTCAACTAACTTTATACCGTTATATAAACTTTCAAAATAAGTTATCTACAGAAGTTACCATTAAAGTCCATGCACATTTTTGAAGATAAATCATTTGGAAGGTTTGTCCGGCAGTGTTGGATAATTTAGAAAGCTTATTAAATCAAGGCCTTTATTGGAAATTCTGAAGTTGAAAAAAAAAAAAAACTAGCTTTGCCAATTACTAAACTCACTATGCTCCCTCACAAATTTAAATCCTGGCAAATTTAATGCAAATATATTGAAGGGCTCATAAAAATGTATTCAGGTCAAAATGCTGAGCTGGGTTTGTGCTGAAGTCAATAAAGACTCAGATAATGGATTCTTGGTGATGTTCGATGAATAGTGAATTGAATTGCATTCCTCAGTTCCAATATATATGAGTTGCCCTCCTAAAAGTCAGTGAACAGATTGCTAAAATTCTAGCATTTGCAAAAATGCCTTCATCTGTCTCACAAAAATTATAGTTTCAGACCCATTAAGAAAATATAAATTTTTAGACTCTAAATGCATATGCTGACATACTTTGTTTTCTACAATGCCATACCACATTTTACCTATTGACTTTTCGTTGAATTGTGTAACTTAAAAACAATATTTAGTAAATTTAAGAACGTCTATTTAGCTGTCAATATTACGGATTTAATTTATAAATGTATGAGTCTCTAAGCAGAATATAACCATGTTTTACATACGGCTTTAGCAATGAACTGAGAAAGATATTTTCTAAAAATAACTCATGCCATTTTGGCATTCATGGCTCCAGCTGACAAGTGACAAGAGAGGCTTAGTTTAGTTAGTTTGATATGCAGTTATATCAATAGTCAGTGTTGATGTTTTTACACAAAGGCTTGCTATGCTTGCCTGTTTGGAACTGTTTAATACATTTATTCTCTGGGTTTTTCTTTATTTTTTTTAATTTGACAATTTTTATTTATTTTATAACAAACAAATGGGGGAAGGGGTTATTCTCTATTTTACATGACATGTGAGCCTGTTAACATTGATACAAGGTACTGTAATGTTATGTGTTAAATGGAAGTATGGTTTAATACTGAAGAAGAATTAAAATATTAGTCAAACAATATAATAAAAAAGTAACAAAACGCAATCATAGAGTCAGACTTTTCATTAAACCAGGGTCCTTTTTGTGACAATACCAATTTGCTTTATCTGTTTTGAATAGGTATCTCTTAAAATGTAAGGAGTCTATTTAGACACCTTAAAAATAAAAATTTTGATTTATTATATTAAACTTCTTGTGAACTCTTCTGCTTTGTAGGTGCTTTTAGGATCATAATTCAGACATTTGGCTTGAATGATTATGTAACAGACTATTATTTAGATTGTCTCTTTACTGTATTTTTTTTTGTTTGTTTTGGAACATGAATCAAGCAAAAAAGAGTTTGTGAAATATCATTTGTGAAGGCCATTGTAAAATTCTGTCTTTGGGGGACAAATTTCATGCTGCCTTGTTGTTGTGAATAATATTGCGATATTTTCAGGAGAAAGCTTTGATTGAAGGAAAAATGTATTTGCTGACTGTGTCAGGAGGCAGTTCAGTAACAGCCAATCTACACCAGTACATCCCGTGTGATAGCTTTAATAGTCAATTACAGCAATCGTGATGGCAAACCCAGTGTTGTAAACGTTGCTGTTACACGTTTCAGCCTCTCTATGCCTAGATTCAAACTGCTGTAGTTCAAATTCTCATAGCTCAATCTTGGTTGTAAAATCCTCATTTTATTTGCTACTCGACTTGTGTATTAAATACTTTTTTCTACTTTATTTAAGTGATTAGGCTGATTTAGTAAGATTACTGGGATGTTGATTAGTGAAAAATTGGTAGATTTAGTTGCAAAAATAATTTTGACTTCCGTTGCACAGGTAGGTAGTTGAGTAGCATCTGATTCAGTTAAAATGGACTCTCTGTGCTAAATAATGATCCCTTACATTTTATGTGCTCTTTATCACATTTTATGATACTTTTTCATCAGTACTTTGCAATTGTATAAATGGTTTTGTGAGCATTTTAACATTAAAATCCTTTTCTCCTCTGTGATTCTTTTAAAACTAACATCTCCTCTGCTGCCATTCTGTCATTTCCTCTTGATATCACAACCAGTATGTGTTTTGAATTCTGGCTGAGAGGCAATGATTCTCTGTGACACTGCTGATACTGTCAGAGTCATTATCAAACAAGATAATGTTTTTTGTAATATAATTGCAGCATATTTTACCATATTCAAAGAGTTGCTGCACAATTGCTGTGGCAGGCCAAAAGTGCAAAAAAAAAAACAATAATTATCACACAGAGCCTGAAACGTGTAAATGATTTAAAATTTAGCCTCTGAAATGTAATTCATGTAATTCCAGACGGGGTGAAAAAAGCTTTGAAGCAATTAGGATCATAATTACAATCACTGGTTTTCTAAAAAGCCATGTAACTCTCCAAAGCCATGAACTAGACTTTTGCTATGCAGGAGACAGCCTCAACTCATAGTTTACTCTCTTATAGAGTACATTAGGGATGTGCATGGGCAAAATATTCGGTTCGGCATTCTGAAATTCTGGACTTCAGAATTTTGGCACTTCGGTTCGGTTCGGTATTCTGAAAATTCTGGACTTTGGCATTTCGGAACTTCTGCACCTTGGTTCGGTTCGGCACTTCCAAAATTCGGGACTTCAGCACTTCAGGACTTGGATGTTCTCTTCCAGCCGCTTAGTAGATAACTCCCTAATTCCCACAGTATTAGGGAGCTATCTACCAAAAGGCTGAAAGACCTAAATTGGTCTTTCAGTCAAATTTAGTAATACTAAGTAAAGATTACTTAGTATTAGTAAATTCTGCCCCTACTTGCTATACCACGTTCGGTTCGGTTTGGCAAATCTGAAATTCGGCACTTCAGAAATTCGCCAATTCAGCTATTCGGACATTCGGAAGTATCCGACTGTCTGAATTGCCCGAAATTCGTCCGAATTGACATTCGGAACAAAACGAATTGCACATGTCTAGAGTACATACCTCATAGCACTGGATATCAACCTAGTGGGTAATACACACTGTGTTATGTAGAGTAAACACAACGGACGGATTGAATTACACACTGGTTAACTCTTTAAGGAAACAAGGTGTAATGGTATTTATTAATTAATGACTTTACATCATAAAGAAAGCATATTTAGTGTAATGCTTTGGGGGCACCACTAGGGGGAGTGTGTAGGAAGACATGTGCTTCTGGCAGTGACATCACAGGCCAGCCTACTTACACTGAATAAAACCAGATGGAGGAGAAAACTCTGTCTCTTTGCCTGTACCTGACTGAACCTAAGATGTAGTACCAGCTCTGACTTAACCCCAGCCAAAGGGCTGGGGCCTTGTAAGTAAAATGTTGTGTAACATGTAGCAACCTTTTGTAAGTAATATGTTGTAGTTTTGTATTGTATCATAATTGTAGTAAATTGACATTCTGCTAGCATCTGTTTATTTGTTATAGTTATATTAAATATACATTTAATATTACAACGTTTTGTGTATTTTCTATCCACATATTCGACCATAATACCATGAATTATAAAAATATTAATGTTGTTCCGTATTGCTTAATTATTATGTATTAAGAGATTAATATTCATATTTAGGTCACGACCACAACATTTGGCGTAGTCGGCAGGATTATGCTTGAATATTGGGGAAAATATAAATGTTATGCATTTTGCTTAAATAATACAGTAAATTGTCTGTCTGTATACAAATGAATAAATTAATGATGATTTGGTTTTAATGGAATGAATGCAGATAGCAAATAGGGATTAGATATTTGTTTTTAAGGTATCTCTTGTTATAGAACATAGTGATGAATTATTGTGTTGCTTGTTACCAATCTTTGGTCATTTTGTATATAGGAAAAAAAAGATATACTTTACTTTTTGTCTGACCATGTGGATTTTAATCCACCATTGACCACATGGTGTGAATGAGTTGAGGCCTAGTTTCATTGTTTGCTACCATTTGCATAGGAAAAGACTTTTCACTAAACTAGTTCACCAGGTTTTATTGCTAAATTTGACCCTGTTTGTGTACTAATTTACATTTGTTTGGCATTCATGGATTTGTCTAGTTGAAAAGAGATTTGGACAAAATGTATTAAATTAGTAGTTTAGTTTAAAGCAGATTCAGTGAATAATAGATTTATGTGTGCGTATACACAGAATATTAGTATAAATATATATATGATTTTGACTCATGAAGGAGAGACCACCTTTTTAACAGCTGTGTGACCATGCTTTTCAGCTACAGCTGGGGGAGAATTTGTCCTTGTTGGGGGTGGGTAGTCTTGCTGTATGAGAAAAAAATAAACTGCATTGTTTTGTAAATGTAATTGCCTAAACTAATCAATTTGTGGAGTGTTTTTCAGCTTTATTATCCAGGACTAAGGAATTACTGGACATATGCAGGAACTGGTAACAAATGAACTGAAAAAATGGTAAAATAATTCCTTTGTCCTATTTAGTCTGAATATTTTAACAAGTTAGCATTTTTAACAAAGTAAGTGTAGGGGCTCAGATTAAGATTTATATTATTTTAGAAGCCATCTATAACTGATTTTAATATTTCCATGCTTTGAATTAGGGTGTATCTGCCTAGCGGGTGAACCTCCATAACGTGGGCTGTGATTTTAGTTACAGTAGCGGGTGGGGAACCTGAGCTAGGGGGTATTTAAACGTGTCCGGATAAGGGGGAGCATACCCAATAGTTGTTGTGCAGTTCTATCCTGTATTATTATTTGAAACCCTGTATTACTTATAAGTAGCGTTTTGTAACTTATTTGTAATTGTTTATATATATTGCTCTGGGAAAGGGATAGGCAAAATCTCTGAGAGACCAGGAAATATATTTTAAAAAAAGGGCGTATTACACTAGTGGTAGGGCGGCCTATCATGACCATAGAGACCCTTGGTGACTAGTTTTTGTTGTATATTGCCCTGGGAAGGGGATACGCTATTTAATAGAAATTCCTGAGAGACCAGGAAATATACAATAAGTGATACGTGAGTGTACTGGTTAAATTGCAGACATATTGGCCCAGAACCTTTAATCGAGCCGGAAAAGAGGCTGCTGTATGTTTGCTCCTCTATAATTTTGCGGGGGCGGTCACCCCCATGCGGAAAGCCACTGCCATCACAGGGTGGTTAGTTGTGCAGGCCCTTAGCCGCGAGGTGCAAGCATGTCCGTGGAAAGGCTAGAAATTAATAGGGAGTCACTCATAGCTGTCAGAAGTGTTGAACTTTGAGACATATTGACCTATATCCTTTCAGAGGCGGAAGAGGTGTTGTGGTTCACTCCTCTATAATTTAACCAAAGGGTGGAGAGTTATTAAACATGTTTAGGTTGGCTAGAAATGTGTTTCCTGAATTGCAGAGAAGATGCAGAAAGCAGCTATTAGCTTATTGTTTATTTTAAGAGCCGAGTAGAAAAATTAAGAAAGTTACCTTGTTGAACAAATTGTTTATAAAATGAAAAGCTGAAGGAATGTGTTTACATGTCTGTGTGTGTATATATATATATATTCTAAGTAAAATATTTGCAGTATACGCTATAAGTGACTAGGAAAGTAATCCTGATCTGTTTCCTAACCTTTTCAGATGTAGCAGAAACCAGAGGTGGACATTGGAACACAGATAGAATATCAGATGGAGACCAGTGTTTAAATGTTGACCTTTGATGAGCTATTGAATGTTTTATTTTATTGTCTATTTAACATGTCTATGCTATGATTTTGTGCATACTATTCTCTTATTTCTAGTGATTGTATTGCAATTGAAACCCTTATGTATTATTATTGTTGTATGTATGTATGTATGCTTGCCTGGGAAAGGGGGTAATTGACCCATAGGGACCAGGGGGTATTTTTGTGTAAACCAAACTGGGGTGGGAGGGCTCTAACGAGGGAACCCCATTGTCCAGTAGGTGCTTGATTTTTGTCTGTGTAAAGTGCATGAGTGGTTGCAGTTCAAAAAAAAACAAAAAAACCCGGAAGAATGATAAGAGAATGATAAGAGAGGATAAGAGAAAGTAGGCATTTTGTGTTATCTATGCATGTTTAAATAGAAGGGTGGTAAATAGGAATGTAATTGTTTTGGTTAATGTTTACATTAAATTGGTTAAATACAGCAGTGATAACGAGTGTTTAGATTAAATTGGTAAATGCAGCAGTAATAACGATTGTTTGGGTTAAATTGGTAGATACAGCAGTGATATTGTGTTTATCTGTGAATCAGGAGTGTGCTGGATGTGAAGAGAGGTGTGTAGGTATTTATCCAAACGCCATAGGAAAAAATATGGTTAAGACACCACAGTCAAATGGTACTTGTGATGATTGGCATAGTTATTATTTATGTTTGTGTTCGTCATTGCCTGTGTTTTCATTCAAGAACTTTCAAGCAAGGATATTTTAAGCAGAAGAAGAAGAAGCACTGGACACTATGCTCAACTGTTGCTGTAAGGAGAAAAAATATTGCAGCTAAGAGTGGTGAGAGTCGGAACAAAATGCATCAGGAGCAGGAAACTGTTACGTCAAGGTGGTTAATGGTATAAAGAAAGAAAAAACAAAACAATGTGACCACAAACACACAAAAGTCCTTGATCACATGAACTGTTTCATTCATCCCTGTCTCCATGCGTATGTTCTATGAGACTGTCGAAGAATAGAGTATCCAGTTTCCAGGACTAATGTTTGTGAAAATTCCAGGCACACAGACCAGCCAGAGGCTACAGAAATCGAGTCGGTCTGTGCCATGATTCATAGGTGTTATGAGTTTGTGGTGTCTAATACTATATTAAGCTCCAAAACACATCCTCACATGAACACAATATCATTGGTTAATCTAATAAAACATGGTTTGAGTTGTTCATTATTATAAGGGTGGGTATGTGCCTATTTCCCAACTGGTAATGCATGTGCTCAATGGTGAACATTTATATAAGCAATAAAATGTTAATGGGTAATAATTAATGGGTAAATGGGTATCGTTCTTCAAAAGGTGGGTTTTGTTGTAGGGCAGGTAGTGTTAAAATGGGGAAGATTCAAAATGTACTGGTTTTATAAATGCTTGTTTTATGACATAAGTCAAAGGGTGGTTTGTAATGGTATTTATTAATTAATGACTTTACATCATAAAGAAAGCATATTTAGTGTAATGCTTTGGGGGCACCACTAGGGGGAGTGTGTAGGAAGACATGTGCTTCTGGCAGTGACATCACAGGCCAGCCTACTTACACTGAATAAAACCAGATGGAGGAGAAAACTCTGTCTCTTTGCCTGTACCTGACTGAACCTAAGATGTAGTACCAGCTCTGACTTAACCCCAGCCAAAGGGCTGGGGCCTTGTAAGTAAAATGTTGTGTAACATGTAGCAACCTTTTGTAAGTAATATGTTGTAGTTTTGTATTGTATCATAATTGTAGTAAATTGACATTCTGCTGGCATCTGTTTATTTGTTATAGTTATATTAAAAATACATTTAATATTACAACGTCTTGTGTATTTTCTATCCACATATTCGACCATAATACCATGAATTATAAAAATATTAATGTTGTTCCGTATTGCTTAATTATTATGTATTAAGAGATTAATATTCATATTTAGGTCACGACCACAACACAAGGTAATAGTGGCAGAAAGCTCTGGTATTAAATGCACCAGTGTAAGGA